GTGATGGCAGAAATGCAAATTCTCAGGAGACTCGGGTTCGACGTACATGTTCAATTACCTTATGGATTAATGGTAAACTACCTAAAGGTTTTGGAATTGACCGAACATGAAGTTATTCCACAAAAGGCTTGGGGATCTTATTTTAGCTTATAATTTAATAATTCATAAACAATCCAAAAATTTTTTAAAAAGAAAATTTTCAAATGTAGAAAGAAAAAGTGAAAAAGAGTTTTAGATATAGATATATTTATACTATTATAAAAATTTTTTTGTTAATAAATTTATTTTTACCACATGTATAGTTTCAGATAATAGTTTTATTTTAAATATAATTAACTTATTATATTTATTATTATAATAAACTTATTTAATAAATAATTAATTTAAAAAAAAAAAGAAATAGTAAGATTGATTAAATAAATTAAACAAAAACAATAAATTTTATAATAGTATTATATTTAAAGGTAATTTGATTTACAAATTTTTATGATAGAATTAAATAATAAAATAATAATAATAATATTTAAAACATATATGACATTCAAAAGATAATTATTAATGAATTTCAAATAACTTTTTGAAAAATTCTTGCATCCAATGAAATCAAATTTAATGATATTTCTGAAATCTTGAATCTCTGAGTCAAATATAATAAGCATTTTATATAAAATTATAAAATCATAAAAATATTAAATTTTGATCATAATATAAGCAAATTTAATATCAAATCAAATGATTCCTTATGTTATACTATTTGAAAAAAGAATAATTTACCAAATATTAAAGAATCAGAGATTTATTGTAGTACAACATTAATTTTCATTTATATTTTGCTAACGTAATATAGAAAATTATAGAAAATTATAGAAAATTATCAGAATTTATAATTAGATAAATTAAAATTCATTTTTTAATGTTGTATTAATAAAATATTTTATATTCATAAATTAGTGCCAATGATAAACGTATTTTATTTTCTGTATAAATTACAGTAAATAGATAGCATTTACCCGACCCCTCTTCGACCTCGAAAATCATACCTAGAATTCGTTCGCCTTAAAATAGTTTATGTAAAATGGGCACAATTATGCTCCATTTTTAAAAAATATCTTCTAATTAAATATTTTATTGTATATTATTTTGTCTCACTTATATAATATCACTAATTAGTACGATGCCCATAATAAAAAATTGGTATCCCTATGAACATAAGCATGCCTAATTAACACCAATTAATTATTTAATGTAATGAATCGAGGTTATTTAAGGCATCTTACGTAAATAGACTCGGATTTATAAAAAAACAAGTCAAACATCAGTAATAATGGTATTTAAATGTAATTCACAAAACTAAAATTAAAATTAGACATCAACGTAATGATACTTTCCATTAACACTAAGTATGCTTATCAGATTTTGGTGAACTTCTACTTGGAAAGGTTCAAATGGTACCTTTTCACCATCAATGCTAATACATCCCGTTTCACGATTTTTAGGTGTTAAACGGAAGGCTTCAACT